TTTTCCTTTTCGTTTATTTCCCCCTTTAAGTTTTATTTTTCTTTTATTTTAGTTTCCTCTTTAAAATTTATTTTCCTTTTCTTTTATTTCCCCTTTTAAAATTTATTTTTCGTTTTATTTTCTTATTTCCGTTTTTTATTTTCTTTTTATTTTGCTTTCTTTTTTTTTAAAAAAAAAAATTCCTTTTCTTTTCTTCCATTTCCCCTTTTAAAATTTATTTTCCTTTTCTTTTATTTCCCTTCTTAAATTTATTTATTTTCCTTATCTTTTCTTTTATTTCCCTTTCCTTACTTTATTTTTATTTTATTTTATTTCCTTTTAAATATTTATTTTCCTTTTCCTTTTTTTAATTTCCCTTTGAAAAATTTAATTTTTTAAATTTCGTTTTCCTTTTTAAATTTGTTTTTATTTTCTTTTCCTTTTTAAAAAGTATTTTTCTTTTCTTTTCCTTTTTAAGATTTATTTTTATTTTCTTTTATTTCCCTTTTTTAAATTTATTTTTTTCTTTTATCTCCCTTTTAAAATTTATTTTTCTTTTCTTTTATTTCCTTTTAAAAATTTATTTATTTTCCTTTTCTTTTATTTTTTTTTAAATTTATTTTTTTTCCTTTTAAAAATTATTTTTCCGGTTTTTTTTATTTCCCTTTTAAAATTTATTTTTATTTTCTTTTATTTCCCTTTTTAAATTTATTTTCCTTTTCTTTTCTTTTAAAAATTCTTTTTCCTTTTCTTTTTTTTTTATTTCCCTTTTCAAAATTTATTTTTCTTTTCATTTCTCTTTCAAAATTTCTTTTTATTTTCCTTTTTAAAATTTATTTCCCTTTTCTTTTATTTCCCTTTTAAAATTTCTTTTTCTTTTCTTTTATTTCCCTTTTAAATTTTCTTTTTCTTTTCTTTTTCTTTTTCTTTTTCTTTTTCTTTTATTTCTTTTTTAAAAATCTATTTTTCTTTTATTTCTTTTTTTAAAAATTATTTTCTTTTTCCTCGTATTTCCCTTTTTAAATTTATTTACCGGATTTCCCCTATTTCCCTTTTTTTTAACTTTCTCCTTTGTTTT